TTAATGTTAAAATCACCACCAACCAATAATAACAAATGATCTGTCGGGAAGGCCGGCAATAAGATCCTCCAACCTTTCTACAAAAACGCTACTAGCACTGGACGATGGCGGTCGATATAAACATACAATAAATAAGTTCTCAGACTTCCTATACACCAGAGAGAACTCGAACTCGTTTTCCACGTGCAAATTATCAAATTTAGCAACATTTAAAAAATTACTAGCACCTATCTTCACAAAAATAGCTGTGCCACTATGAAATGAGCTCTCTCGCCTCTCTCTGTCAAATCTGGAAACAGCATCGTAATTTTGAAGACAAAAAGGCTCACAGGGTTTTAGCCAGTGTTCAGTAATGAGAACAATATCGGGAAAATCATATTTTCCCAAAAAAAAAAAAACTACTAATTCATCACCTTTATTTCGAATAGATTGTATATTTAATGAGAGAAAGGTTAAACAATTATCATTCCTCGCAAAACTGTTGCTTCCCATGTCCTTATCTATACAAAAGAAACTTCTACAATGTCATCGCTAACTAGTTTTATACACTGATCCTTTGTCATTGTTTTCACCAATGCTTTAAGTTCTAAATGATGAATTGTTAGGTCTACCTCAGAGCGATCCATACAATTATTATCTACGGTTTCTGCTCTGCTCACACCTTCATTTTTGTTTTGGTTGTCCAGCATTACATCGCATAATTATTTGCTGAGCTTTACAAATTTTAGATTTTTACCCGTGTTTAAGTTCGATTCTATCCGCTGTAAGATCAAATTGACAATCTCATTCTTCTTAATTAACAAAACTCCCAGTATTGATATCCAAGAGACTAATATTACCTTCTGAAAATTGATCTAAATTATACAATGATTCGCTCCAGCCAAAACAGAACAAGTTTACAATATTCTCAATTATATGACCAAATAAAGCGTGGGGTTTTATAATGGCCTGTGTAGCAAAATCCTTCAATTTATAGTAAAGCTGATCCTTAAAAAAGTATAACACTCTCGTCACCCAAAACCAACATACACCTTTTTGTCTCATTACTACAACTCTTATCTACATTACTACAGTCTAAATATTCTATATTATTTTTATTATTTTTCAGTTCTTCGTTTACCACAATTTTGGAGTTCAGCATAGAATTCACCTCTCTTGCAGAACAATTTTTGTTGTTACTGTTATCGTTCTTGTTGATCCACATCTTAATTTCGTTTTACAATCTTGAAACCTCCCCTGCGTGCCATTCATTATCCGCTGTGGCTTCTATACTCGTCATCCAAGATTTCTGCATACTTAAAAATTCCGCCTCTTTTTCTTGCAAAATGGTTCTTTCCTGTAGAAGAGAACCTAAATCGTTTATATCATTGCTAACAGTTTGAGAATAAGCATCAAATGTGGGTGGCGGTTTCATCCTCCTCGTCACAAAGTCTGCATATGGGTTCTTCTTAATTTTCTTGGAGGATGCCCATTGTGTGAAGGTGCTTTCTCAGGCTACAATGTCCAGTTATTAGCTTGATTTGATTCCTGTTTAGTTATAGGATCTCTTCAGTAAGTTTAGGTGATGGTTGTTGTACCATAAGCTTACTGTGTCTGAGCTTCGGAAGAGTTTGCCTGTAGGTTTGGTGTTGTATATACACCAATGGTTTATTTTTGTTCTTACCGATGATTTTGTGGTGCTAATTGCCGGTTCAGGACCAGTATAACTGGTTGCTGATCCTCCTCTTGCCAGAACATCTGCTTTTTCATTTCCTTCAATTCTTTTATGCCCTGGCACCCATTCAAGGGTTAGCTTGTTGGCCATACTTAGGTTTTCGAGGTTTTCCAGCCGTTCCCAATTCGCAGACATATTTGGATTTTATTTCAAAGCTGTTGAGTGCTTTGATCGACGCTGTCTGAGCATATAAGGATGTTTTTACCTGTGTATCCCCTGCTTAGGTTTTCTCTCAAACAGGAGTCGATGGCATATATTTCTGCTTGGAATACAGTAGTGTATTCTCCCAAAGGTTGACTGATGTCGCATCTAGGAGTTTGTCCGTACATTCCAGCGCCGGTTCCAGTTTCTGTTTTGGGGCCGTCAGTAAACCAGACAATTTCTTGTTTAGGTGTTGCCCCGGTATTTCCTACTGGGGCAATCTCGATGGCGAAGGGTTTTTCGATGCATTTTTTCGGCATCATATAGTCGCTACCCTTGGTTAAAATAGGGTTTGTGATTATTTTGGTGATTGCCGCATGTTCATTTGGTTTTGGGTTCCAGGTTTCGTTCAGGTGGAGACGTGATTCTAGCCTCCGCCTTGACGATAAGGTCAATTGGTGGGAGGTGAATCGTTTCCATACTTGTCGTTGGTGTGCTTTTTTGTGCACCGGTAATAAAAAGACATGCAAGTCTCTGGATATTGGCTAGCTCTAGGTTTGCTTGTCTTTGGTTTACTTTAGGCCACTATACAAGTGCACCATATGTTATCATTGGTCTCACAACCGTAATGTATATCTAGTGTACAACTGACGGTTTTAGTCCCCATCATGTTTTCCCAATCGCTCTTTTTAGTGACATCAACGTCATCTTGCAGGTGGTTATCTTTTGGATGTGTTGTTTCCATGTCAGCTTCCTATCTAGGATGACGCCTAGAAATTCAGTTTCCCTGCCAAACTCCAAGGTTTTTTGGAATAGACTGGGGGCGAGTCCTCCAGATTTCTTTTTCTCATGAAATGAATGAGTTTTGTTTTGCAGGGGTTGACGCGAAGTTGCTCCCTCGTGCACCATTCCTCAATGATTCCTAAGGCGTTCTGCATGAGGTTTGATACCGTCCTGGTAAATCCTCCCCTAATGACAACGACTATGTCATCCATGTAGCCTAGGATGAAGTAGCCTTGATCGTTTAGTTTCCTCAGAAGTTCTTCCATGACTAGATTCCACAAGAGTGGTGAAAGTACTCTGCCCTCTGGGCATTCTTTTGTCGCGGTTATTTTAATAGAGGTTTCAGCAATAGTCGAGTTTACAGTCCTGTGTTTAGCATGGATTTGATCCATCTGTATGTGGTATCATTAATCGCATGTTGCCCAGCAGCTCTGACTATGGAGTTGAAGGAGGTGTGGTCAAAGGCTCCTTCTGTATCAAAGAATGCCACTAGTGCGATTTCCTTGTTCTCTACTCTTGTCACCAGTTGGTGTAGAGTTGATTCGCATTATTTACCTGGTTGGTTTTGGTGAAGTGGCCTCTGTTTCAGTGAGGTTTCCCTGATATGCTTTTCAACTAGTTTCTCTGCCACCTTTAAGAGGGGCGTCAGATAAGAGCCAGCGTGCCATCTTTTGGGCTTTATGACATACATTAAATATTTTTTAATCACAGGTGTTCAAATTTTCTGTAAGTGATTGACTTATTTACAAGTAGATGGCGACATCTTCAATATTAATTCGTTTACTCAATAATTTACAGTCGATAAATAAATAATTTTATTCAGATGCAAATGAAATATTAGTATTTCACATTTTTAGCTATATCCTATTCACAATCCGATGTCTACAGGTACAGGTAAATTTATCACCTTTCCCTATCAAATAGCATTGAAAGGTGATAAATTTTACCTGTACCTGTGGACATCGGATTGTGAATGGATAATAGGTTAAACCATTTTTCACTGGCTTTTGAAAGAAGTGACTACCCTTCCCGAACTGAGCGACATCTTTTAAAGAAGCGCTGAACACACGTTTGGTTTGAGTCTCTGCTGAAAATGACAGCAATTACCTCGTTGTTTCGCAAATTTTGATTAATTTTGTGATAAAAACATTATAATTTTCGAAAATTCTGTCCTATTAATTTTTTCCAGCATTTTACTATCCGAAATTTTGGAAATTTTTTGTTGGTGTGCTACTCTAGGTATTCGTTCCTTTTCCATTTAAATCTGTGACCAAAATTTGCATATTGTTGTCAACAAAATTAGTAATAATTTCACTATTTAGAATGCGTATTTTGCAACCAAAAATGCTTCGAACAATACTCCAAGCTATTATTGTTATAAACATTACTTCATTTCACTGAAAAGTGGTCTAAATTTGGAATTGAACAGAAATTTGTGAAGGTCTGTAAATGACATTTTATTTAAACACCCCTCTTAACATAAAAGACGATAAGCTGATCGGTCTGTATGACCTGGCCTGAGATGGGTCTCTGCCAGGTTTTGGGATAAAGACCGCTTTTACTTCTCTCCAGGACCCAGGAATATAGCCTGTTGCCAGGCTGGCTCTGCATAGCTTGCAGAGGTGTGGTGCTACAAGGTCCACCGCCTCTTGTAGGAGTGCTAGTATTATTTTATCTGGTCTCGGTGATTTGAAGCTGTCAAATGAGCCTATTGCCCATTTTATGCCATCATAAGTTACCGCTTTTTTAGCAAGTTCCCAGTCCTCTTTTTTCGCTCCATTACGGAAAACGGAACGCCTTGATGGGTTTTTGCTATCAGGGTTCACTTCGGTGGAGTCTGGAAAATGGGTTTGAAGAAGTAAACAATGTTTCTTCTCCATTTTTTGTAAAGTTCTCGTTAGATTTTTCAATGGTTCCCGTCGGTTCTTTCGGACTCTTGGCTAGAATTTTCTGGGAATGGGCTATTTCGGAAGTATTTTCAACTTCGCTGCAGAACTTCTTCCAGGATTCTATTTTTGCTTTCCGGATTTCTTTGCTTTATTAAAAAGCTTTCGTGGGAAAGGGAGCTAGATTGGTTAGAATTTGAGCAAGTTTCCATACTGAATTTCAATCAGCTCAATTTTGTTTAATCAATCATATTTTATAAAAAATATCTACAAACAAACAGTCACTTGATCACTTCTTTGCCTTCTTTTTCTGGTTGGTTATTATATAACAAATTGTTACCAGCGGTCCATTTTTATAATTCCCAATAAGCCAATGTTTTTCGTAATGTCAGAAATCACAGATCACTCCTGAAGCACTCCTCTGATAATAATAAATTTAAAAATGTACCTATCTCAAAATTTCATTTCTATACTAGGTATCCACGAAGTCGAACGTGGCGAACAAGAACTACAAAGACAACGAGAACTCGAAGCCGAAAACCCCCCGGATTCCGACGAGAGCGAGTCCGGCTCAGGCCTAGAGAATCGCGGTGGCCAGATGGGCTTCAACACTCCGCCGGATTCTCCTAATGCAGTTTGCCAGTACCTCCGAGAACACAGTCTCCAATACGAAGGTAAATTCAGCAAAATTTACCAGTACATTAACACCGTTTCAGGTGAGAAAGAGTGAGGTTTTCATTTTTAATTTTTTTTTTTTGGTTTTGTGTGCTTTTGGGCTCGATTTTTGCTTGAATTGAATGTCTGACTAACCTGTTCTAAGAGAGAATGATATTTTTGTTTGTTTTGGGAGTGTGTGTGCAACTTTTTTCTGAATGATGCCAAATGCAACAAATACACTAATAATAATTAGAAGACACTTTAAGCTGACCAAATGGTATGGAACAGTTTTTTCTAGAATCTGTGAAAATAGAGGAAAAAGTTAAATTTGGAAAAATTATATAACTATATCATTAGAATCTATTCACTACTTTAGTTGTTTTTTCAAATCTTACTCAAGCCGTTTGTTGTCCTTGTTAGTTAACTAACCCTTAGATGGTGTCATTGTCAATATGATCATGATATTGTTTTTGTGTGGCACAATCTAAGGTTATTTTTGGCTAACAAGGACTTAACCAACGATTAATCTAGCCGCATTTAAGATATTAATGATGTTCTTTGTCCAGCTCTCTGACAGATAATTGAAGCTTTAACCATTAGGAAAAAACATTTAAAAATACAGTTGCTTATGAGTACTTTTATATGGGGTTCCTGACCAGTGATTCAGTTATATCTTAATGAAATTTTATAATTCTCAGTACTTATACCTATGCTCCATTTCCAGTTTGGCAACAAGTAGGTACTTTTACAATTATTCAGCTTCAGTATTGTTCTTTGCCATAGCGGGCACACTAGGTGACACTTTTCGACTCAGCAATATTTGAATCTATTGAACTTTCTTGCTTCAAAAAAATGCTTTGGCATAAATATTTTCCAAAATAACCATCTTAACAATATCATGAATCTCCTTTTTTAAATCTCCTTACAGGTGGTATCATCCCAGAACTAGACATCTACGCAATTCCGTCTTGCGAATCAGCTCCAGTCAAAGAGATTTACTTTGTGGCCATAATCGACGTGCTAACGCATTACGGTGTTAAGAAACAAGCCGCAAAAGCGGCGAAAACTGTCAAATACGGCTCTAACGTTGACGGAATTAGCACGTGCGATCCCGAGCAGTACGCAAGGCGTTTCATCGATTTTATGAGCAAGGCCATAGAGTAGGAACTGGAGAGAAAGAAGATTGAGCAATTTTTTTTTCAAGAGATAATTGTTTTAATTGACAAAAGTTTCTTTGAAAAATCTTTTAGGTTAGTGTGTAAAATATAAGGGGGCTATGCGTTTTTTTCTTGGAACAGTATTTCTTTTTCAAATAATATCCCTACTGCATTTTTTTTCTATATTTTATACCTTTTTCTCTAAATAACATGTGCTATGATAATATGATTGTTATATTATAGATTTTGGCGATAAGGCTTATGAATATGTATTTTTTAGTTGATGGTTGAAAATTGAAATAGCTATTTTATAATATAAGTAGGTCTATTTCAACCATGCTGATAACCCGAATTTTCTGGAACATCTATACAGTCTATCAATGAAAAGTGCTTTGTTTTAGGATAAAAACAATGTTTGGAACCCGTTTATAATGCATAAGTATCTGGTTTCCTATATTTATCTATTTTCTGTCAGCTTCACCCAGTTATGAAATTGAAATTTTTATTTAAAAAAAATGTACAAGCAATTTGTAAGCTATTATAAATCAAAATAACAATTTTGAAGAATTAAAAATTACCTGTAATGGAATATCAAGATAAAAACAAAATTCAAAAAGCAAATAAACACTATAAATTAACAAAATAAACGCACATTTTCTCACAATTTACATCAATAAAAAATACATTCAAGCCTCATTAGCACAAATGCCTCTCTATACTTCGACTATAATCAATATTTTCTAAGGCAGCTAGGCTAGAGTAGTACAATTTCTCTCGTAATGCCAACATCTATATCCTAGCTAGCATATAACTCTAGCTAGCTTAAGCTTTCTCATAAAGAGGATTCCAATTTTTTCTTATGGTCAAACTTGATGTAAAGATACAGTTAGGCCAAGAATCAAAATAATTTTCCATGGAGTAAATTACGCTTTACACGCCCAATCCGTCAAAAAATCGACGAAACTAGTCATAATCTGATCAAATTGCGCCTAAGAATAATTTTGATCCAATTAATACTACACATCGTTAAAATTATTTGATTATAAGAAAAATTAAAGATTCTTCATTTTTTTACCTAGAAATACCTGGAATGTTTTATGTTGCAGTGTGACTGTTTTCCTTGTTCCCTCTTATGTTAGACCTGCTGATTTTTTTAAATAAAATAATAATTGAGTGAAACTCCAGCAATAATATTATCTAGTCTAATAATATGGATTATTCTGCTACATTTCTGTGAGAATATTATCGGATTTTAGTTTTAAGGATACTTTAAGTGCTCAATTTGTTCAGCATTGAACATATAGACACCTTATGGTTATCTTCTGATCGTAGATCCTTTTCTTTTGGCTCATTCCATTTTGTAAATAAAAAAAATTATAAATTAGATTTGTATATAGATAATAATTATTATCTAAACTTTTTGTGATCAGTTTTGTAAAACTTTTTATTATTTAGTTTTTTATGTTATTTTTTGTAAGTTTATAATTATTATTTTGTTATTTTATCATTATTTTTATTTTTGTCCTGCAACAGGCGCTATTATTATATTATTACTTAAATACCTATGCGATTTTCAGTTTTATTTTCTTTTTTATTGTTTGTTTAATTTAAAAAAAAAGAAACAGGTATATCGATGGTGCATCATTCTAGTTAGATAAATATTTTTGTTTTTCTACAAGTAAAAGTGGAAAGTAAAATTGGTAAGGAGAGATTTTTATTTGGTTTAGTTGACAATGTGCTTGTAGAAAAAATGTATGCCTAACATTAGAGGAAAGTGTCTTTCTCTTAACTGTTGATCATAGTGTTACTTTCCTCACTCGTTAGGTATACATATAACTTAGTTTAAGATAAAATTTTAGCCAAGTTTTGCTGAAAAATTGAAAATGTAAATATTTTATTAGAAAGTAATTTGAAAGTTCATCATAATTCGGTATCCTTTTCCCATGGAAATCTATCATTAATCAAAATATTTTTCCGCTTAATGCTTCGATAATAAAGCTTTTTTCTGAAGGGGCTGTTCAATTTTTAAAATAATATTGTTACTAGTTTATAGGAAAACCCAGTCAAATTGGTTCTAAATAATACTGTTTATAATCTCTTTTTGTATTCTTTGTCTAAATTTTTTCAATGTTTAGAAGCAACGTTTTTAATAAAAAAAATCGTGAGGACTGCTCATATTGTTTTATTTTCTAACATGTAAAAGATGAGAATAATATACATACTTGATACTATATGTATGTGCCTTCAAAAAGAACAAACTCAAATCCTGTTGTTATAATTTCCGTAATGAGCTGAACTCAAATGCACATAGACCTGTACACCAGGGACCTCAGGGAAATAGAGATTATGGCACTCAACAAGGGCCCAGGCGAAACGAAAGGTATCACAATGACAACCATAATTCATCAAGTAGAAACCCAGGACAACTATGGACACAAGATCAAAACCTATTGTAAATTCAGTGGACCAGCTACAAGTATACTATCAGAACGTTGGAGGCATAAGAACAAAGCTGAAAGCTTTGGAAAGTTCTGTTGATGTTCTTGACTATGACATTATGTGTTCTCAGAGACATGGCTGAATGAGGACATTTTGGATAATGAACTCGGTCTAAAAGACTACTACTCCATATTTCGATGTAATACAAACCAAAGAACTAGTGAGTGTTCCAGAGGAGGGGGCGTAATGATTGCAGTGAAACCAGGTATGTCAGTTAAACAAATTATAAATCCTCCAGATATACAGGGTGTATATTTTAAGTGATACCACTATTGCTATATCCGAAACGGTAAGAGCTACAAGGTCGGTTAAATTAGAAAAAAGTTGTCATTTTTGATGTCCATTCGAGACTCGTTTACAGTGTTGCCAAATTCCGTTAAGTTCATGAAATACAGGTCCATAACTAGGGCCAAATTGAGGTAAAATTTTGGTAAAAATCACTGATGATCACTTTTCAGATCAGATGCGTCGGCCAAACATACTTAAAAGGTATATCGCTAAAAAGGGAATAAAGGGCGCTTTCTAAAAATAGCATGAAAAATCTAGATCCGTATTTAAAAAAATGAAGTTGATGATGGTAGCTGAATCATGAATTGTCGGATCTAAAATTTGAAGATGCCATGTTGTAGAGCGAAAAAAATTATAAAACTTCCAAATTTAAATTGTGTCTCGAAAACTAATAGTTTTCGAAATAATTGATGAAATATTTTTAGGCGTTTCTTAGAAATCACCCTGTATTTCATACACTAAAAGGAATTTGGCAACACTGCTAACGAGTCTTGAAAGGGCACCAAACAAGGTAACTTTTTTCTAATTTAACCGACCTTGTAGCTCTTACAGTTTCGGATATAGCAATAGTGGTATCACTTGAAATATACACCCTGTAGAATGTGTGAAAACTCTGATTAGTGCTGTGTATCTACCTGCACAATCCACCGTGGAGCTCTATGAAAACTATTGTAGCGCTGTGGAAAATGATAATCAAAACTTCCAAAGTTTTATTTTGTTAGGGGACTTTAATATACCAAATGTAATATGGCTTAATGAGGGTTAAGGTACCCAAGCAGTTGGTAACGTTGAATTGAATTGAATTGAATTGAATTGAAAAAGTGCTCTATTGTCCAAAAACTAGTACATTCTTATTGACAAAGCTATCTAAACTAAGTTAAACTAAAATTAAATTAAAATAAAACATAAATAAAAATATTCTTTTCTTTAAATCATCACTAACATTTTTCAGCAATCATCAGCTCTGTGTACCGTGTAAGGTACCTAACTCAAATAAGGCCATGTACCTAATAAGGCCAGTGCCCTTTATGGCCTAATATTGAATCCCATTTCCAAAAATTACAATATCATTAAAAAAGAAATCTATAATGCAAATTAAAAAATTATTACAAGGGTTCCTAGCAACTCGTCATAATGTCGAAAAATGGCCAACCACATATTTCATATGTCACGTTATAACTTTGAGGCTGAAACTCAATTAGCTTATATACATGTTTATGAAGTGAATGGAGCGATTATAATTTTTTAACGTATATTTATGTATTGAGAAAACTACAAAGTAACTACAGAATAACATCTTTGCTAGATTTCTAATTGCAGACTTTTTTTATCAACTTGTTCCTAAAAAGGCCATCATATGAAAAATGTTCATTTGGCCTTACATCACAGTGTTTTCTTAAAAGAATGTGTCATATTATTACCTGAGTGATGTTTTTTGAAATACCTGGATGAGTCTAACCAAGGAAGAGATGTTGCGGTTCATTTACCCTAGTTGTATGTAGACCTATTTGGATCACTATCCCAGGACTGGGAATTATTGTTTTTTTAGGAATGCAACAAATGTATAAGTTCTATTTTGTGTACTATTTCTCAAATAATTATATTTTTATACATTATTGTATTTATTTTAAACATTTTTTTAATGGTGGTCTTATTAGGAGCATAGTGATCCAAATAAGGCCAATCGTAAGCGTCTTGGTTTTACGCAGAAACCACCCTTACATATATAAAAAAATAAAATAAATTGGAGTTAATATTCAAGTAATAGAAGCAAAACACTTCACATATAAGTTCGTGATTTTTGTTGGGTTTGGTGGATAATGTTGGGAAAAAATAAAACTTCTTAATGTGGCCTTATTTGTATCTAATTAAAAATTGGGCAAATACACATTATCTTCTTCAACGCCGTTTATTTTTGACCTAAATCCAACTTTTTTTCAAAAAAACCAACCGGAATAATTAAAAATAATTAAAAAATGTAACCCACCAAAAAATTAACTTGGATCCATTAGAAACCCATCAGTAGAGTAATATGCTTTTTTGTTTAAAAAGCTCTTAAGATGTGCGAAAAAGTTTGTGATCATCAGTATTTCTAATTTGTAGATCAATGCAGTTGTCAATAACACCATTGTAAATGAGTGAATTCTTGACAAGGGTTGAATGGAAGTGGAATTTGATTACCTTGACGTGTAGCATGCCTTTGTTGATGTGTTGGAAATTGATACTTCTGTTTATGAATGAGACATGCAGTCTCCAGTATGAATAGTGAAGGAAGAGGGATTTTCTTGCGATGAAGAGCGGCCTGCAGTGAGCTCTTGGATGTGCATTAGATAAATTTCTGACTGCTCGTTTCTGGAGAACAAAAAAGATTGGAAGAGGTAATTGGAGCATGCACCCTAGAAACTTAGATAGAACTCCACCAATGCGAAATAGACATTGCATGCGACCTCCTTTCCAAGTTGTTGATAAGTTGACCGAACTGAGTAACAACCAGATGACAGTTTTTTGTTAAGCGCTATTATGTGGGGGTAGAATTTTAGATCTTCATCAAATGAGTAGGCCCAAGAATTTCGATTTTACAACAGAACTCACAGCCTCATTGTCCAAAGCTAGATCATTCACTGTGCAATTGAAGCCAATGAGATGCGTCTTTGACATGTTCAGACACAGACGATTTGCATCCCACCAGTACTTAATTTTTTTAATTAAATTTATTAATTAAATGTCGAGGAGGAGCTGACTCAGGTTCTTGTTTTGTCATAGTACGGTGGTGTCGTCCGCGAACAAAGTAAAGTGCCCTGTGATATCTAGTTGGCTGAGATCATTAATATAAAATGAAAACTGGGCCCAGCACTGATCCCTGTGGAACTCCACATGAAACCTTTTTTTCAACAGATGACGTACCATTCAGAAGGACAGATTGGACACGATCACTATAGCTCTCAAACCACGAGAGAGTTTCCCCCAGAAAGCCGTAGACGCGAAGCTTCCGCAACAGAATCTCATGACTCACACAATCGAATGCCTTACTTAGATAAGTCACACAATACCGCATCGGAAGCATCCCCCCCCGTTTAGAGCCCCGAAGACCCCCGACAAAAAATCGAACATTGCGTCCGACGTATTCTTGTTAATCTAGAAGCCAGCTGCCATACTGATTAACAGTTAAAATGTTGTGTTGGTTTAACAATGATAAAACACGATGCTTAACCAGACGTTCAACATGTTTTGAAAGAGTGGACAGAAGGGAAATTGGCCTGTAGTTTGAAGGGCAGTTGTGATCACCTCCCTTGTATAAAGGAATGATTTTCGCAGATTTAAAACAAGTTGGAACGGACCCAGACAGGAAGGATACATTAGCTATTTTCGGGTTCGAAAAAAGGACGGTTCTAGAACGGTTCAAAACAATCGCACAGTTCATCAATCAACTAAATGACAACGGTTCAGCTATCACAAATTTCAATAATAAACTGTGCGATTGTTTTGAACCGTTCTAGAACCGTCCTTTTTTCGAACCCGAAAATAGCTATTGATAACATTGGACAGAACTGAGATTGCGTTAAGCGGTAGCGACTCCAATATCTTGATAGAGATACCATCGTCATTTACTGCTCTCTCGTTCTTCATTGAGTTAATCGTTTGCCTAAGTTCGTGAGGGGTAGTTGGAATAAACATATCCAGGGATTCAGGAACGCTAATATCAGAAAGATATGAGACGGGATCTATTTTGAGAACTAAGGTCTTTAGTTATGATGTTGCCTATAGAACAATAACTATTGAGGAGATTTCCGTCGATGTTGATGGTTTTTTGACTTTATTACTAATTTCGTTTACGATTGCCCATGATTCACGTTGCTTGTTACGAGAGTTTGTAAGGCGTTTAGAATAATAAAGGTTTTTTTGTCATACAAATGATCGCTCTATAGATTTTCCTGTATATTGAGTAGTACGACTGAATCCATGGGTTGTCATTGTAAGATTTTCTGAGACTGTTCAGAAAACGTATATTGGAAGCGGAAGTGCGGATTCTCAGTGTTAACCACTTTTTGTGGTCTTTGCGTTTCGGCCTTATTCTGCGCACAGGAAAGGAAACATTAACAATGTCGACCAAAGCCGTGCGAAAAGCCAGCAAAGGGTCTGCCCCCTGAAGAGTAGGAGTAGAAGCCCAATTGAAAGTGACACAGGCAGCGCGAAAGCTGGCAAAATTGCGGGAACTATAAATTCTTACAAAGCTTTCAGCCTCAGATGATGTAAGTGAGCGCATTGGTATCTTGGCGATAATAGCATTATAATCAGAAAGACCCGAGTCAAAGACATCACAAGAGACATTTTCATGAATGCTAGAGACGATGTAATCTATCGTAGTGGAAGCGGTTTGTGTTACCC